GCAAAGCCGTAGGTACGTATTCGTACCGACTTGGATGCAGAACCGTGCGTCGAATAGGTCAAAGATTTGAGTAGCCTCACACCATACTTGAAGAGCTGCTCTACGAAGTTAGTGCTGAAAGCAGGTGTGTAGCAAATACGAGTACTGCCATGCTCGCAATATGATTTACCTGCATCGGCCTTCATGCTTTCAGTGTAGCCACATAAGACCAGTAAGTGCTGATCGCAGAATTACTACAGAAAGTGCTGTTGCAAACATCCACTGCTTTTGCACGGCTACATCGGCAGCAAAACGTTTAACCCAGGCAGGTTATGCCGCGATCATAGCAGTATATATTCCGCACCTGCTTTTGGTAGTAACCTCCTATGCCCGCACTTTGAGCTTCCTAATTTTCCTGAGTAGAGGTTACCAACGCACATCTTTTGAACTTCATTAAACCCTTAGGCAGCGTTTAGACTTCGCGACGGCAGCGCTTCGTTCGCGCGTTCGACGCGATTGATGCGCATGATTTCGACTGCGTCGATCGCAGAGTCTGAACGCAGCCTTATTCAGGAAATGGATGTGAGCATGGCATTTTAGAACAAGAGAAACATACTCAGCTTTTCACGTTTCCCATTTAAACTTGGAATCCCACGCTTAACTTTTTCTTTATTAAGGTGTTCCAGCAGTGTTGGAAATCTTCCAAAAAATACTGAAGACGATGCCAGTTGAGGGGTACTATGCTGTTGCGAACGGTCGCAGAAATGGTGTATATCGTACATGGGATGAGTGTCGAGCGCAGGTGGAGGGTTTTGCTCATGCAAGGTATTTAGTCAAGTTTTCGAGCTCACACTCGAAGCATTGTTAAAGAATTCGCCGTCGGTCTTTATCCTATTCGACATTCTTTCAGATTTCAGAAATTTGCAACTGAACAAGAAGCTTTTGCTTTCATCGCGGCCTACCAACGGGAGCGTGAGCTATTTTTTTCATTTTTTGTAACAATCTGTTTTTCAAACTAATCGTTGGTGCAGATTTCTCAATGATGGAGTTTTTTGTTGAGTTTGTGAATGTTTAGGTGCGCAGGCTTTGCTTGCCGGCAAGCAAGAGCCCCATTGGTAATCATTGAACGTATCCGCTGTCGAAGATATGATAATTTGTTATACTGTTTGTTGTACAAATAATTTGTTTTTGCAATATACAATAAATTCTATAGCCTCTTAACATTATGAACCGCTCTGTAAGACGGCTACCTTTCGAACATGTCAAATTCGAAAGCTCTTCAAATCGGAAACAAAGGTCTTCTCGTCATGAGTAAAAGGTTTATGTTAGGCCTACAGCTGAAAGTGAGACAATGATCCTCTGTTCATGTAAAAGCACATTCAATTAAGCTGGGAACGGTTATATTAGAATAACTGCGTTCGCAAAACCATTCCTCTCCGGATACGCTGCTCGCTGTTGAGCGATAATCTCGTGAGCCACCAAGAGTATTAGGTTTTGGCACGCGTTTTTCCCGCAGAGCGGAAAATTTTTTCAGTGTTCAAGATTCCAAACAGTCTTTTCAGGAGCGATGCATCCAAATTCTATCCTATTCTATTCTATAATTCGTTAAGTAAACTCTAGAACTGGAGGCGCATTACACAAAAGCTCATTATTCACCCTTATACTTGAATCAGTCGGGTCGCCGGCTGACGCCGGGGCCTCATTCTGATGCGGCCGGGCGGGGCGCGGCTTCGCCGCGCGTTTTCCTTCACATATTTGTAGACTCAATTGATATCCGCCTTTTGTTCTGTACTCATGGTCAAAACCTTTTTGACTAATAACATCATTCCTGCTATATGTCTTGCTATAGTTGAAGCACTATTAGTGACATCCTTTATCCTTACATTCTATAAAGCAGAAACTTTGTGTGTCGGTTTGTCGGTATGTATGTATGTATGTCGGTTTGTATGTCTGTCCGTCCGCAAAATGCTTTACGGGATTAAACACGTTAGTGAAAGAAGAAAACGACCGCTAGCCAAACCGGGAACCCATCGGTGCAGATGTATCAATCCAATGTTTTGATTGTGATAACAGCATATATAAGACAACCACTCGGTACACTCCGAGCCATTGCACGAGCTGCTGCCGTGGCAGCTGGACGTGTGCTCGTGCGGGGGCAGGGTGGGGTGGAGCCGAGGGGGGGGGGGGCACCGAGTGACCCCTCCCCTCTGCTTCCAACCCCTGCACGTGCTCAGCTGGACCTGAGCATGTGCAAGGGAAGGGGTCCGGTGAGGGGGTGCGTAGCGCACGCTCGAGTGGAAGCACGCGGCAACAACAATAGATAAGAAAACAACCGCTAGAAAAATTGCAAATCGATCCGTAATAAAAAAACGCTCAGGATCGTTGTTTTTGATTTTGATACCCTCACAGCATATAAGACAGCCATTTAGTGCACTCCGAGCCATTGCACAAGTTGCTCGCGTGCTGGGTGGACGTGAGCTGTGCGAGGGCCAGGGTGGGGAGAGCGGTACAGTGAGAGGGTGAGGGGGTATACTATGAGGGAGCCTAGATTTTGCTGGATTAGAAGAACACCATGGCTAGCACCACTGAAAGCGATAAGACGATGAGTGGAGGGATCAACCGCTAGCAGGGCCGCGAATAAAACCCATGCTATAGTACCGCTTTGAGGGGCTGCTTTGGTCGTGATTACAACCTGCACTATAGAAACCACGTAGTGCACTCCAAGTCATACGAGCTGCTCGCTAGAAGAAGCTGGGCGTGAGCATGCAGGAGCAAGTGTGGTGAGAAGGTGGGGCAAGTAGATATTGGGAAGGGGATTACTTGGGTGGGTGGGATTAGTGAAGGGGGCGGGGTATGATGGGGAGCTTGGAATGCATACGCATAGAATAACAGCTTAGCTCAGCGAACAAAGTTCATGTTATGCTCTCACTTTGGGGCTATGTTTCGGTCGTGATTACAATGACCCCAATCTAAAAGAGCTATGTAGTGCACTCTGAGTCACTTCACGAGCAGCTCGCATGGCAGCCAGACGCGAACACGTTCAGGAACCATGGTGGGAAGGGGTGGGGAGAGCGAGATGGGGAGAGGGTGAGGGTAGGTGAGATGGGGGTACGATGGGGGAGAGGGGGGGGGGCGGAGCTCAGCTTACGCTGGGTTAGAAGAACACCATAGCTGTAGAACCACTCGAGTAAATTAAGATGTTGTTCTGATTGTGATAATACCCTCACCCTATACAAGACAACAATCCAGTACACCTACACCCTGCAACCATTGACTCAAGGCTGCTCGCGTGCGAGCTGACGTGAGTTCGCGCAGTGGTTGCTACAATCTATACGCATTGCAATTCAAATTATGGAATGGGGGGGGGGGAATATGTAGTTGGCCTGAATCAGGAAAAACTCCTGGAAAAGAAAAACTGAATAATCTGCATCAGCTAGACAGCCCTTGTTTAGCTTTGACCATCAATCTACAGACTGAAGACGGATTACAGAGGACAGCTGTAGCACACTACTACACCCTAATAATACTTTAGGGAGACCGCATGCTAATTGAAAAGGGGAACATTCATCGGTAGGCATTTCGGTGCAGGTGATGTAAACGAAATCTGTTCTTCTACTGAGTGATTCACATTGCGCTGTATTTTCCGACTACACATTGTATGCTAAGATGCAATCAAGATCTGCTCTTATGTGACAGGATCCTAAGTCTTGCTCTATCTGTTACGACTCGATTCCTACAGCACCGTATGAGCAGCCCACTATTAAAAAGGCTCCGTTAAAATTATGGAGCGCGCCTGGCGAAGCCAGGCCATCTCGGCGAAGCCGGGCTAAAGAGAAGGAGGAGAGCTCGGCGTTAGCCGGGCGATCCGAGTGGTGGAGCGATAAAAGGCGTTTCCGGACAGACAAACACAGTTACAAACACACAGACGAAGCGAATTATATATGGGGTGATAATATATGGGGTGAAGTACAATTCATAGGGATTGAATGCGCAGAAAATGAACCATAGTTACCTGAACGTTTTCTGACAATCCTTGTTTAGCCATAAATGTTCTGGAACGTCTGAGCACGAAGCTTTGTCTTGGCTCCGCCCACCGCCGCTGCGAAGCAGGGACCGCCCCCCAATGTTTTCTGCCTCACAATCCTTACCGTACCCTTGCTGCTAATCCAGTTGTTCCGGTTAATGCTCTGGACGTTCTGAGATTTCCGTGTCCCTGAAGCGCCCCCTTTTGACCTCACATCCTACCTGGACCCTGTACAAACAGTTTTTCGTGAAGTGCCTAAAGTTTCAGAATTCGTGGCTCCGCGGCTAGCTCGATGCTGGCCGACCGTCCATCGGTAAGTATGCTCCCAAAATTCTCATCGCGACCCCTTGCTGACCTGAATTCACTTTTTCCGGTCTTCGGAGTGCTCTGGAACCGTTTTACAGAGATTTTGTCTGGCCCCGCCCACCTCGGAGCAGGCTCCGCGCACAATGTTTTTGCCCCACAAACCTCATGGCGACCCCTCTGCTGACCTTAGTCCACTTTTTTCCGGTGTCTGGAGTGTTCTGGAACCGAGCTACAAACTTTTAAAATGAATACCCTGCAATTTAGGGCAAGCTCCGCCCACTGTGGGCGGGTCTCAACACACTTTGAGCGTGCCCTATATTCGCCAGATATTCACATAATGAAATTTTTGCGACTTCCAAACAGGTCTCGCGAACCGGGTTACTGAATTTTGCGAGAAGCACCGCCCACCTTGAGCACGCCCCGCCTTTTTTGGATGTGTCTGCCGCAGTTAGTCTGGCAACTCCTTGCTAACTCCTCATTAAACTTTTTCCCCCCATCTCTTAAGCTGCTCCGGAAGCGAATTATGAACATTTTTCTGCGGAACCCCAAACTTTCGGCGAGTGCCCCGCCCACTGTGGGCGGGGCTTCCCATAGGTCAAGTGTGCTTTTTATTTCTTGTCCCATGCCCTACCCATCCCCACCTTGACCCGACCTCTCCAAGTCGTTCTTCAGGTCGAACCGAATTTCCGGACAGACAAACAAACTTACAAACATACTTACAAACAAACAGACGAAGCGAATTATCTATATGGGGTGATATTGAAATTAAAACCCGCGATCTTCCGCCATCACAGATAGCGGATTGGGTGTTTGCATATAGACGACAAGGTTCTGACTAACTCGACAGAGAAGAAAAAGTAGGAAGAACCCCATCCCGATATCAGATAGTACATGCCCAGTTAACTCCAGCTCCAACATTACGCTTCCATCTGCACAGCTGTTTTCCCTGTAAGAACCCTACTACCATGTGACGATTTTCATGCTTGTTCGTCCTGCAGCTCCGTTTTACACAATGAAAGGCGGCAATGCTCCACATATCGTGCTGAACCTGAGTTCAGTTCTCTCGAAATAACAGTGCGTCAAATCCACTGCATGTTTTCTTGCATTCAGAGCGCCTTTCTTGAGATCCGAGTTATGGGAAATCTCGGTTGGTAATTAGTCATCAAACTCACAGTGTTGAACTGACTGCTCAAGCATGCCTCTCACCTCAAAGCGCTCAGGGCTGCTCTGGCATAGCATGAAACTCGTCCCCCCGAAAAGAGAAGAGGTTCAGAAAACACAAAAAATCATCTAGAAGGGGAATCATCTAGTTGGCATGCCTACTGGATGAGAAACCTGCCACTGTGGGTTGGGGCAAATGCCTTCTTTCATGGGGTACGTCATTTCAAATAAGTTGGAGCTCGGCCAGAGGCACTCCAGAGAAGTCAGTCGAGGGTAGTCGCGAATGAGAATCATGGGCACAACACGGGTGGGTTTTAACTCGAGTAACGGCAGCCGGGCGAAAAGACCTGTAAGGCGGTTCAAGAGTACTCAAGCGCAGATGGAGAAAAGGATTAACGGTCACGAGGAGAGGGCGTTCGAGAGAATGTGTACACACAACGTAAGTGGTGGAGGCCGAGGTTGAAGCGTGGGCGACGAAATAAAATCCGTAACAAGGTCCCAGGGCACTCCAGACATCGGTCGGTAGGGGAATGATGTGGGAGGGGCAAAACGGAGTGGGCGGAGCGGGAGCAGAGTTGGGCGGAACCAAAAAACCAAAATTCGTGAGTTGGCTCCAGAGCACTCCAAG